ACTATAAAGAGTGAATAAAATCTACAGCCATTAATTTTTTCTTATTACTTCAGTTGTGTACATCTCACCGTTTCCAGTAACCTGCACCAATTTACCACATTTATAACAACTGCTAATGGGTAAATCAGGTGATAGGATGTCATAAAGACGTGGGTTCAAAAAAAAAAAATAAAAATTCAATAGCAGCCATTCACTGCTTCCAAGTATCCAAAGGTGATCTAACACTGATCATTTCATGATTTCAATGAAATTCAACAATCCTCACAACCCCAAACTGAGAATTCAATTAGTCAGAAATAAGAGATAGAAAAGAGAAATTCCAACTGATACCCCCCCCCCCCAAAAAAAAACTCGACAATCAGACGATGATAAAAGATAAAATACATTTGTTCTAATGTAATCGATTTCAAGTCTTGTAGCCTTAAGTCACATCAACTATCGATCATTTACATATCAATGATATAATGTATTCATGTTATAAAATGCATACAAAATATATATCTTTCAAATTCCACTCTTATCAACAATAATGACTTTTTCTAAGATTGATTGTATGTACTACATTTGATCTTTTAATCAATATTACATTACAGTTACAACAGTCAGTTATCACACTTATACCAAACATTAAAAATATGCAGTTTATTACTTTCTTATGTAATGAGCTATGACATCATTCAGCTAATTTTCAGTGTATATAAATGTAAGTGAAAAAAAAGAAGACAAATCGATTTACTGAACTGTATTGCTTCTCCTGTAAGAATCAAAATCTTAAATAGTAAATTAGTCAAACATAAAATGAAATATAATTCAGGGTGAAAATTAGTTTTTAATTTAAAGATTATACTTGTTATGTATGGGCATAATCAAAGCTACTTTTTAAAATCATATAGCATAGATCAAGTATTATATCATAGAATAGGATTCCTATTCCTAGGCGAAATAATGAGTAGTGTAAATTATCGATATCGAGAAAGAGATAATCATTATCAAAAACATGTGTTGATTACCGTACTGTTTCACGAATTGTCAGAAACGTGTACCACTAAACGCTAATTCAGTAGTTAAGCTGTAGCCGAGAAAATTGAAGACCCTTGATCCGATCACTGACAGGATTGTAAGTGTACATTTCTGAGAAATTCAATACTTGGACGAAACAGTTGTTTAGTACTCCATTGGTTCCCGATAAAACTTTAACTAATGTCAATCTTTGAATAAAATCATATACAAATACAAGATCTTATCCAAAAATGAATCAAAACAAACTGTCACGTTTTAGATTACTGAAGTAAAAGCAGAAATTGACACTAAAATAAAGTAAATATCTCATTAGAGTGATTTTATGTTACATTATAATCATTAAATGAAATGAATTTTAATTGATAAACATGAACCTTGAGATTATTTGACTTAAACACAGGAGATTTCAAGCTGAGAATAAGAAACAATTTATTAGAAGAAATAAGTCATTGTTAAATTACAATTATATGATGGCACACTGTTCGCTTGAAAATCACCTATATAATATCTTATTGTTATATCCCGTGGAGATTTATGAATAGTAGCTTTGATAACTATATATGGACCAATATGATATGTATATTTCCTATTGTACAATTATTAAAAAACTAAACTATTCATATTCGTGTCCCTCTTATTATAAGCTTTATATTGACCTATAGACTATTATTATATGATTTACCATTCTTGAGTTATCCCTAATTCATTAATTATTGTTCCCCCTATTCACAGCTATATATGGCCAAATCTTGTTTACAAATGTTATTTTCTATTTTATGGTACGATGTGATCAGTTTGTTTGGTATATAAACCCAGTATGTTTGAGAATAATGATTCATATTTCAGAGGCTGTTATTAGTGTTCTGGACTTAACTGGCTGGGCTAGTCAGAAAGCAGGACTGATAAGTACTCAAGACTGCTCATACAGCTTTTATGTACCATTGCTCTGATCGATAATCCACTGCTCTTTGACTGGCAAGGATCATTGCATTAAATATTAACTGGGCAACCAGACAGGCAGAATAGATATAATACTTGTAATATCTAACTAATCAGTTACATAATCAAAATTCATATCAACGTTTATTCAATTAAATAATACTTTTAGAAGTTGTTCAATAATCAGTTGATTATCAACGTTGGAAAAAGAAGAAAAAAACAAAACTTGTGAAGAAATTTCTGAAATGATTAAAAAGTATATCAATGTGACATTTTTCTATTTTGTAATGTAAACTATTAAAATTCCTGAGTGTGAAACCTTTAAATCTTTTTACAAATATAGCTTATTATTTTACGCAAAGATGGATAGTAGTTAGCAGTGAAATCCAGGACGCCAGTTTTGTCCTATTTGCGACTCATCAGCTAAATGTACCTGCATCTGAAAGTTGATGTTCGCTCTGGGACTCAAACCCACCACCTTTCACTTCAAACGCCATCGCATCATCCACTCAGCTACTGAGTCCTCATAGATACTTGCTTGTGCAATGAGATGATGTTTAAATTCACTTAGTATTGTTTGTTTGAATCTTCCCATTGATTTTTAGGACTACAACTGGTCCCAAATAGGACGAAACGCGCATCCTGAATTCCACTGCTAGCCACTATCCTTCTTTGCGTATAATTCTACACTTATAAATAACTACCTTGATGTATAATTAAGTATGTCATATCGATTTCACATCAGTCAGGAACTTTATCAGAGAAAATTAAGACTTAAAATATTTTAACATCTCACATAGACACTTGATATTTTGTCAATCCACTTTCCAAAGTATATTCCTATGATGTCTCAATAAGAAGAAAATTGTGTTTTCAACGTTACGTAATATCGAAAAATATATTTATTATTATTGTAAATTTTCAACTCAATTTTCGATGTATTTAAAACTACCAAGTCTAACCTAGGCATTGGTACCGATAAACTCATTAATAATCACATTGAAATTATCCATTTGAAAATTTGTTTCAAACAATTATCAGAATCTATTGTTGTACGGTTAGATGATGCATCTTGTATTTTAACTAAAATCATTAATTAAATATATATCTGGGTTCAGATCTTGCGAAGTGGGATCGTGGATGCCCACTGTTGATGAGTTTCACAATAGGACGAAACAACCGGCCAGTGCTTCCAGGTTTTTCATGGTGGTCTAGCTTCAATTGATTCACGATCTCAACTAATAAAATTACTATTATATTCACAAAAACCCCTTCTGAAAATATATATCTGTTTATCCAATGCTCTGGCAATAATATATTTGGAAGTAGATTCATCTAGCTTAATGTTTATATAATCATATCCGACAAAGAAGTTGGCCATTGACCTTATTATGATCAACTTAATGAGGGAAACATCATTACATATTTGAAATGATGGTTAAGACTATGATTTAGAATTTAGGATTTATGATTTCAACATAAAGATTAAAGCTAAAGTTAGAATTTAGGTACGTGTATACTAATTGTAAAACCTGGATACTGATCAGGCTAGGTTTAGTATTATGGTATATATAAGCTAGTTATAAATCCCAAAGTTAACTCTAGACTATGACTTTAAGTAATTCATAAGAAACTTTAAAAAAATTCATTAATCATTTTAAAACAATATGTTCTATTTAATTTCTTTAATTTCACATTATAACTTATTTATTTATATTTATTACCTTAACTCCACCTGTAGCTCTTCTACAGTTACTGCCGGTCCCAAGCCCGGGTAAAGAAGGAGGGTTAGGCATATGGTTAGCCACCTCCTCTCGTAGAAGAGCTTATTTACTAAAACAAAAAAACGCTAACCATAAAATAAGTAATTATTACCTTCTGATTAACAAAAACAATTTAAAATATAAAAGTCAATATGGAAAATATTTTAATTTTACTGATAATATTATTATGACTTCATATTATTCAGAATTCTGTTTATATTTTGATAAAATTCAAAAGTTTATATTAAAGAAATTTTAATTAAATAAAACTTTGTTTCTCTTTTTTCTAAAAATAAAAAAATGTACACTGCTGAGGAATCTCACAATAGGACGGACGAAAAAACCATCTAGTGCTTCAAAGTTTTACATAATGGTCTACCTTCAATTGACTAATAATCTAAACTATTAAAATTATTATAATATCCACAAAAACCCCTTTTGATATTAAACAAAAAATAGTTGTGTTATGACGTATGCAAACTCGTAAATGATATGGACGTGCAATGATACAGTAAATACGTACGAACAGTATTGGGTGCTATTCGGTCCTTCCTATCTGCCTAGACCAGCCCGTTAAGTCCAGAACACAAATAACAGCCTCAGCAATATGAATCATTATTCACAAGCATACTGGATTATATATACTAACCAAACAGACCCAATTATACCAAAAAATAGAAAAATAACATTTGTACAGTAATTGGCCAATGTGGCTATGGATAGGGGGAAAGTAATCAATAACAATAGTTCAAAGGTCAAAATAAAGGTTATGATAAGAGGAACACGAATACAATTAGGTCAGTTATTTAACAACTATACAATACAACTATACAATAGGAATTAGGCATATTACCTTTGTCCATAATAGACCTCAGATTTACCATTCATCATTCACCAGGGGATATAACAAGTTGATATTATATTCACTTTCTTAACTTTAATAAAACATACTAAATCAATAAATTAAAAATTCTATTTCTTCCATTTTTTCTCCATAATTTATAAATTTTTATTTAAAAAAATTTTTTTTTTGTTTAAATAAAATAATTAGAAGGGGGATTTTTGTGGAGATTTTAATAATTTTCTATAGTTAAGATTATGTTACAATTAAAGCTAGACCATCATGGAAAAGCTGTAAGCACTGGACGGGTGTTTCGTCTTTCCAGGTTTTCCATGGTGGTCTAGCTTCAATAGACTAATAATTTCAACTATATAAAATGAAATAAAATAAAACAAAATAATTCATTTAAATTAAACATGTAGATAGATAGAACTCACCAATGGAATGAATGAACTGATCTAATGTGATTTATTGTAAATGCAAATCTTTCCTTTTTTTTGTTGTTTGTTTGCTGATATAATTTGATTGTTTCTATGTTATTTATGAGTAGCAATTATGTTCCCTGAACTATTATTTATTTGTATTAATAATAATAGTAATATATATTTAAATGAATTGACATTAACATCATGATCACATTTATTAAATCAGTTACTATCGTTGTTTCAATATTGATTCATATATTGATGAAATCAATATGGTTATATATGATCACACCTTTATATGGTATGTATACTTGTGTGTATCATACATGTATATATATATATACACCTATGAGTCTGAGAATAAGAAGTAAAACTTATCTACAGACATTTACTATCTGTCTGATCACAACCATAATCATCATTAGAACTTCATCAAATAGAAATAACCATAATGATTTTATATTTTTTTGAACAATAAACAAAGAATTATCCTAAAGTATTTCATATATTTGAATCTAGATACTATGCGTGGGTTCTTGTAACCTTGAGAACTAAATCACATAGATTAGATCATTTTTGTGTTTGTATATCAAACTCATCTCTTCATAGTGAAACTGATTGGTTGTGGTTGTTTTTGTTGTGCACTTACATTGTACTAGAAAACATTTCATAAATATAAAAACTCTACTAATTTCATTATTTTCACTAATATCATATTTGAGTTAATATAAGTAGTAATTACAAATAATTATTGACCTTGAATAACATGGCTCAAAATCTTTTGTAATGACGAAGGTGCATCCAATCATTGTGTTCTCTTAAATTCTAATTTTCTGAATTCTTCATGTCTCTATCTTTCTTCTCTTTCCAAATTTATTTCACTGTATTATACTCCCTGAATAACATCTTCAAACTCTAATCTTTTCGATTACTGCTTATACTCTTACTACTTCTACCACTATGGGATTTGAATTGACAACTGTATCTCTGTGCTAATATGGTATGGCAACTCGAACTGATGTACGTTGTAGCTGACTGACTGACTGAACTGCACCATTAATGATATGAATCTTTGTATTCAATAGTTTCGTATTAAATATTTTATTTGTGTAATTGATGCAAATTCTTATTAAATTCCTTTTTTGTTTTAATTAATAACGAAGATTTTGTATAAATAAATATTTATTATGTGCTTCTATCTAGTCAATCTCTAGCCTTCTCTATTCTAAAGTTATTGTAACTAATGAAAATGGGGATTTGTGAAGATTGTAATAATTGTAATAGTTGAATTCATTAGTCGACCTAAGCTAGACCATCCGTTTTTTAACCCGAATGTTTAGTTTGGATATAATTGTGTTTTTCTAACTGTTTGTGCGTTGTTGTCGTGTAATCATCTATTTATTCACATATTCTTTACGTTATTCTCAATTGGGAATAGATCAAATAGTGTTCTAGTTGACTCGTCGTCACTCTCGTTTGTCAACCAATAATGTAATAGAATTGTAGTGTAGTGCTTCGTTAATCGATCGTCTTGATAACCGTTATTATAACAATCTGAACGGTATATAATATCAGAAGTCAAAGGGAAGCAGCAACTACATTTTTATTGATAAACAACATGGGCTAGAAGGCAGTGAGCACATTAGCAAATGCAAGCAAGCGAAGGAAAGATGACGCATAGTGGAGATGGCTGGGAAGCCAACTCGTTATAAGCAAGCATTAATCAACATTTATAGTCAGACTAAAATGAATGACAGACATGTGATAGGTAGGATAAGAAGTGTGCATACACATACGCTCATATAAAAAAATAGTCAAGGTCAATAAGCGAATAATTAACAAGATCAAAATATGACTCATAACGTTATAGGTGAATTGGCTTGTCCAGAAACTAGAATAAGCTATGTAAGTGTAATATAGTACACGACGTTACACTACTCCTCACAGAATAAATTTAGTTTCTATCCAACACTATTTAGTTTCTATTCGGACTCATGCATTTCTATACTCAAGGTTGAACTATTTAGCTTATCATTTACAGGCCTTAGCCTAGGTCGAAATAAGTTCTCTTCTGTATATTGTTGAGCAGACAGATCGAGGACGTAACAATCTTCCTCACTAAGTAAAATGAGTGATCTCAAATTTAAATGTGAATTCATGCCTTGAACCATTTTTAACCCTGTTCGTACCATATCAAAGCACGAAAATCATAATTCATTGTATTGGGTAAATCGGGGTCCAGCTCTAGACAACTGTTAAAATAATCTCCTCACTTCATATCAAAACTAAATCCAAGCAAAATGTTTTATAATCAGGTTGTGGAGATAGGACCATAAAACCTATTTTGTAAATAATTTTTCATAGTTTACGCATGTATTTTGTGTATTTTCATATTCTGTACATTTAGCATTAAACAATTGTACTTGTTGTTTAAGTGTATTACTTTGAACCCTTGTAACTTGACTTCCTTCCGTTTTGAGTACAACATATCGTGGCACTGTTACTGCTCCTCATTAAATACACTCTAATTCACATCTGCATCGTTCTGCTATATCTGCAAATATGTTAAATGAAATATTCATTGCATATCATCTATATTTATAGACAATTGTGACATTTTTATTGAATTCTACTCTTGGTAAACCTACTGGGTCTATATCGTCCATATTGGGATTACTAATCTTTTATAATTGTGGATTATTTGGACCAAACTCAGCCGAACACGCAATAGCCCGAAGACTTAAGTAACGTCCCTTATTTTTATCTATGTGTAATTAACTTATTAACTGTTAATTAATATATAAACTTTAGACGTAATATTTTTGTTGCTATTTTTTTTGGTTATCATACTTTTGGTCCACCACAAGCTACCATTATAGTGAGCGTGTAAGAAAATCTGGCTTGCTTGAAGTCATGTCTAAATTTGATTAATGTCTACACGTCCCAAATTAATTTAACATCTATTTAGTCTTCTTATTCATCATCATGATCGCTACCACTTACTTACTTACTTACTTACGCCTGTTACCCCTCGTCAAGGAGCATAGACCGCTCACCAGCATTCTCTATCCAACTCTGTCCTGAGCCTTCCTTTCCAGTTCTTTCCAGTTAACATTCATCCTTTTCATATCTGTTTCTATTTCCAGGCGTAATGTGTTCTTTGGCCTTCCTCTTTTCCGCTTCCTTTCCTAATTCAAAGTTAGGGATTGCCTTGTAATGCACATTTGTAATTTCCTTAATGTATGTCCGATCCACTTCCAACGTCTTTTCTTAATTTCCTCTTCAGCTGGAAAGTGCTGGTTTGTCCTCTCCCATAAAACGCTGTTGCTAATAGTGAGGGCCTAGAAAATGTTAGAGAACATTTTATTCAATCGATATTGTCAAGACGTTTCTCAGAAACATCTAGAAAGTGAAGAAATGCGTCTTACCTTTATGATCGGGTGGTCACCTATGTTGCCTCTATATTTAGCATGGCCCCAGAAACTTCAAGAAGTTCCAAGCCGTTTGAAAAACCATAAATATTATCTCTTTTATGTACATAAACTAACCTTGGAGTAAAGCTTTTAAGTGTATGTTCTTCAAGTTGCCGTGTAGATTTAGCCTGCAGTTGTTAAAGGCGTCTAAAAATCGATTAAAACATTCACTTTGAAGACTGACAGGGTATGCGAGGAGATTAGTCATAATAATAACAATTAACATGAACATAAACGGACTTTGAATATTTACCCGATGAATTCGTTTTACAATCAAATAAATGGATATCGGACCTCATTTATCACTCCATTCTTGTATATCGTTAGCGAGAATGCGAAACTGAAAATGTTTTCACAAGAAACTCATCTCAGTCAGTGTAGACCTACTAAGTATGAGAACGAAAGCACAAGATGAGAGGACAAATTGTACTCAATATTGGACTACTTACCATCAGATAGTTATCTTCTAGCCGAAAATGTTCGCTTTCAAGCACCAATAGTGTTCTGTAATCAATTTACAGTCCCAATTACTATGTCAACAAACGGGATGCTGCAGAGAAATGACAATAGTACTTAATTCTCTAAACCAGGAGAAACTTCACTCAACGGATAGCTTCTTTAAGACCGTACATTGCTATGAGAGTGGAGTGGGTTGAAATTAAAAACTATTATGAGATGTTGAGGAATATTTTTCAAGTAGCTATTCTTTTAAACATCCTTCAATAGTAAGACCTGTATGAAGAGAAAACATTCAATCTTAACCTATGCTCAAGAAGCGTGTTTCAAGCGAAACTGGGAAGTTTCACTGATTGTTTGAGAAACAGCAACTATTCCTTATTGAGAAACCAACGCAACTCCAAAGTTCCAGGCGACAGAAAATATTTCTGGATCACGTCAGTGGCCAAAAAAGCCTGTCCAAACTATCTTTTTTGGGTATTATTGTTTTGCTGTCTTACTCCATCATGATTATATGATACTAGTGATTATAAAATATGTATCCTGCTTACTTTGTATATAATTTGTCAACGTACCCCATTAACAACAATACATATCTAAGAATTTAAATACAAGTGTATTTGAGGGACATATATTTCAGAAACTAGTTACTGCAGACGAAAATATGTGTATGGGGACTGGAATGGCGAAAATCGTCAACCCAGTGAGTGTTTGGTGACTCTCTTTCCACGACTAAAAAAAAGATATAAGTAAGCATACAATTACATACCTACTAGTATGCACACACAAAGCATGTTCAGGGTTACACACCAATAGTCAAAAAAGATATATATATGTATATGTGAATAGGGATAATATTCTCTCGGAATAAATACAAAGATAGGTAACAAAGTAGGGTGGTAAAACAATCTTTCGAAAATAGACTCTGACACAGCATTAGTCTCCAAGGTCTACTTGAGAACACGAAGTGAAATGACAATGACAAACACTATGGTTAGTATGCATATACATACAAAAATAATTATTCTACTAGGACGAAAATACGATGCTCAACGAGGCAATCCTTGGAAATTTTCACATCAAGAGCGAAGACTTGAGTATGCTCATTCTTTTGTCGATTGAGGGTTACCTCAATGCCAACTGTCCCTAAGACTGATTGTATCTGATGCATTTCTCTCAACTTTCACAACCATCACACCCATCAGTATATGAATGCCTTCTTTTTTGGTTTCCACCACTTATCTAATATTTCCCTTGATATTTTTTTTACTTTGGAACCACCCTACATCTGCCCTGCCAGCACACCTGAGAAATACACAACCGTTTAGATAACAAGGTACAAAATCTCCAGTTAACTAGTGATTTAGCTACAACCACAGCAGTCAAACGGTAAGACAACTCATAATAAGCCATGCTAAACAATTGAAACCTGTAGCGGCGAATAAATCACCCGAATACATCGCTCCGTAAGTCTTCGACCTCATCAGTTTTACCTAAACACATAAAGCTGAACGCGCTCGGTCACTCATCCGCACTGGATCTAGGGTGGGTACGCCACGCTACGCATCCCTTTCAACTGTTAGCCAGCTTATACCAAATGTTCTTCCATATCCGATAGCGTTCCAAATATATCTTAGAACTTCTTCATTTCTGACAACCAACTTCACTAGGTTGTCATACTTTGATTATAAATGTGTTGCAAGCAAAGGAGTTGTCAAACTTCGAATGCTTTAGCTATCTTTAAACCTTAACGTAACATCACGGTGCGAGTATAAGGAAAACAGTTCGTTGATTCGGGCTTGTTGCAAGCTATTGAGTGTTTTAGATGTTGATGGGTTTCAAAGGAAACGATTTTAAGATTTCTTCTTTGGTCTTTCCCACTACATGCTTCCTCCCAAGACCTAGATTCAAATCTTTGGGAGAGAAGAGCTCTTTAAATCAGAGAGAAGTGGTGATGAACGAAGTGCAACCTCCAGTGTTTGTTAGTTGTTTATGTTGCTTGAAGTTATCTAGTGATTGAGGTTGAACGAGAAGGCCGTTTGAGATAATTTAGTAGGAAACAAAATAATAGAAAAATGAGCCAACGTTTTATTGAGCACAGAAATTACTTACATTTTATAATAACACTATAAGGCAACAACCAGTAGCAACACTGCATAAGATTGGAACGATCTAATAATCAAAGCTGCAAGTGGAAAACATAAGCTTACGAATGCGTTAAAGAGGGATCTGAGTTTCTAATATCAATTCACGAGCCCGACAATGGTTTGTCAAAGTACCCCAAATTTTCCTTTGCTTGAAGCAATAACTTTAACGATACTCAAGATAGGATAGTTTAATATACGCTAATTGTTTGTATGCTTGACGGTTTCCAATTTTCACCGAAGACATCATCATAGACTTGAGGGCGTATGGATACAATATGAAGCGATCTAAAAGAAACCAATCGGTTTATACGAGCTCGTGAAGACGATATTAGCTATAGGACATCACCTTCACTATAGTAACGTTGAGGTTGCTTTTTTAAAATGTTACCTTTGAGGTCGTATAATTCAGGTGTTTTGTTAGGTAACTGGTGGGAGGAGAGAATACTAGAAAAAGTATGCGGTTTCCTGATAAATTTTATATATTTAGGAAGAAAAGTCTGCGCGCTTCAGTAAAAATGAGGATCGGGTATCATCTACACAGTTTCTCAGCTTACTCACTGAAAGTATTCCTACTATGGTAGGCTTTATCATCTGACTATACCACTGAATTAAGATTCAATGCTCGGCGATGCCGTCAGATGGATATTTGCGTTTTGGGTCTAATATTCAAATAATAAACCCAGGATCATCTCCATATTACGTAAAATGTGGACTTGCAAACACACGCCCACCTCATGCTCTTGGTCTTTCGATCGATATCTCATGCAACCTAACTTTGGAACTTTCTAATTCCGATGACAATATTTTTAATTCTTTGGGAAGAAATGGTTTACTGAGTGTTACCGCATCGAAGAATGTACAGCCGTCTGCGAAAAATGTTTTCCGGATATACTGGTTAGCCCATGAATAAAGTATTTTATTTCAAAATTCACTATTTTGAGAGAATAAAACTTTTGCATGTGGATTTTTGACTGTCAACATAGGATTTCTAGTCAATTTCTTAGTGCAAAGCATAAGACAGGTCAAATGTTTTGCATGTGGTGCATTCACGTCTCGATTTTACAGAATGGCTTACTATTTCTTTCGGTTTCAAATCAATTTAGTTCAGTCAGTTGCTTGAAGTTTCTGTATCAGATTTGTTGGTGCTTTGGTGAAGATTGTACACGAAACTACAAACCAATAAAAGCCAACTATTGCTAAATGGATGATTTTTATCATCGTCAACTCGATCTGAGAAAATATAGCCATTTTAATCGTCGAAACTGTAGTAAACTTTGAAAGGATCCTTTGGTCTTATCAACATTCATTATCGGGGAAACAAATCTACTAACAAATACTGAGTGTCAAGAAAACGGTGGGAATGGGCTGAAAGCGAAAAGATCACAAACTCGCCGTATTACTCTGAGTAAAGTGTATGGTTCTTGAATCTGCTGGTTTGTCGGTGCTTCTGGCATAGTTTTTCAAAAACATAAGACATATCAGGTTTGAACTTTATCAGGCATGAGTTACAAAAGTAGCCAGTGAGGCTTTCTTACTCAACGAAATTCGTCTTGGTCACGTTTTTTCTTAAAGTTTATGGTTTTTCACATACAAATTTCTGCCATCAAAAATTGCTTGTTAAATATATGACCTTAACAGCGTTGTAGTCTAGTTTGGTATGGGGCTTTTCTTCTGCAATTATCCTACTAGCGATTATGACGACACAATTGATCAATGTTCTATATTTTTCAGGTACACTAAGAAAGTTTATTTAAGCAAATTTCCAGTTTAAAATATGGATAAACTTAGTTTTAATCAACGGCATTCCGTAAAATTTGGTTTTGAGTGAATGCTGACGATATCAAACAAATAATTTTACCTAATGATCTGACATTAATCAGTACTCATGAAGAGAATGTTATTAATTATTGGATTCCGCAAACTATGTCCACACCTACAAAAGCATTTATGAATAACAGTATTATAGCATCGGTTGATTTAAAATGTTTTTGTTAATAAACTGACGTGAGAAGTGGTTTCACAATAGCATCAACTGCGACTCATAAAAGAACGCGAAACATTTATTTTAAGAAGTTCATTTTCACAACATTCCTTTCCCTAATCATATAGGCTGGACATTGATTAAAAGCGAAGAGTTTTGTTCGACGGTATGAATCACTGAAAACTTAACATACGCTCTTAAAAGTTCAATGTCATCTTAAACAGAATAAAAGCATCAACATTTCAGACTTTTCAAAGCCTTATTTGTTTAAACTTCATTTACTTTTTACTTCACATAGCTTACACGAGAGTCAATATGGTCGAGTGATTCGTTATGGTGAACCATTTGTGTTTGGATTACAACCAGATATCATCTCAACAAAGTGTAATGCTGCACTACAGAAAAAGTTAAATGCAGATCAATGCCTATATTTAGCTAGTGATTTGCAACACCTAGGCGATCAAAATTTACAACCAGGTGCACAAAGTTTATATTTCGAAGTTGGGAAACCGTCATTTTTGTCTCAGTGGCGTTTAGAACATGAAGATCCACACTTACGTAAAGAGTTTGAAGGTAGACCAGTGAAGGTAAGAATTATAAAATTATTGTACAAAAGAAAACTTTTAGGGATATTGGAGAAAATGTATATTTCATAAAAACATATTCGCCGACGCCACTGTTCCGCTATAAATAATTTGTTCTTGAAGCTTCTGTTAGTTTCCGTTTCTTGAAGTTTACAGTAATAATATTTTTATAAAAGACTCGATAGCTTAGTCAGTGATGCATTGTAGTTTCGATATTAAAGTCACTGGGTTGAACTCTCGGTTCAGATATTTCCGAGTTTCAGGCACGTACTTCAAAAGAAACGCTTATCCTGAACTCTGCTGCTAACTATATCCCATCTAGTCTAATTTTACCCGTTGAATATTCAGCTTGGCAATTTAGTAACTATGCATTACGTATATCGTGATGAGATTCTAGCACGGTGATTATCCCACTTCGTTACATTAATCTTTTTTAAGAGTGGGTGGATTGCCAACCAATTTTATGTGTCAATTTTACTTAGTTTTTAAATTTGAACTTCATATTTGTAAATAAATCTAAACAATTGCCTCATTTTATTTGTTTACCTTGCCTTACTCCCCTTTTTGTAATCATTTAAAATAGTTTCCTCAACATTATATGTACATCTTACCAATGAGTTTAAACTAGTGAAAATTACATCTTCAAAGTCAACTGTTTGGCACTTCCGACCACTTAAAAGCTCAAATTATCATTTTAATACTCTATTTGATAATCACCAATATGAAAAATGTACCTCTAATGTCCTACTTATTGCAGTAAAATAACGGTATTGCGTCATCGATTAGCGAGAAGCGTATACTTACGATGAGTTGAAACCATAAATACCTCATTGGCGATAATAATAATAATAATAATAATAGTACTTTAACATAATTACGTACTTAAAATAATATCAAATTGTTCATAGAAGCTGTTTGAAATCCATATGTCTGTGTTTACAGTTACATATGTTTTCCATGAATTATACAATTAAATCTACCAAAATTCAGACCGATGCTTTCAAGTATGACAATCATAATAGATGCTTCTAACCTACCCAAAAACGAACGAGTTGTGAAACGTGATACTGATGGCTATCCGATAATAATCTTAATTGTTTGTAACAGAAGTAACATGAACATGATCTCTGCCACCTTCCCGTGTATTAAATTATTTCATCAACTTTCAACGCCTTATTCAAAATTTTATTTAACAACTCTCGGTGTTTTGCTTCTTATTTTTCGTTTTATTTTAGTCTGATCAAAAATTACTCATCAAACATGTTCGAAGTAATAAAGCATTAGCCTTGGAACCAAATTTTACAGCTCGGTGAGCGAAACTTCTGATTTTTGTATAGATTAGTTTTTAATTTCCAGTCAGTTTTTTATGCTTATTCAATAAATCTAGTATGTCTATATGAACTAGTACACACTGGAGTAGTATTAAATGTTTTTTAAATAATCAGACTCTTATTGCTTCATTCTCCTGGTGATGGTGTTTGCTTTTCGTGGTGTGTTGACTGAGTTGTGATTACTTGAATATTTTCCTCTTGCGGCCTTATAGTGTTTAAGAGCAAGCATTGTTTTAAAGCGCAATCTCCCTGAAAGTAATCAGCACACGTTCAAAAAAATAATAATGCATTTTCTCTCCTACCCATGAGCTTATACTTCTACCTGACCTGAAAGCATTGGGTTGATTTTCGTACTCAAGTCATCTGCTCAACGATGATTAAATTTATTTCCACGACAATATTAGGAACCTTAGGTCACAAAACAGTTCATCATTTAATCTTGGAATTTTTCATTGGCGCTAGTTAGGTAATTAAAGTCCAAGCCACATTCCAGAACGTGAAATATATCGTATCAACCACCTCAAGTAACTATATTTCAGATGTTACAATCTGAAACAAACGCATGCAGATAGTTGAAAAAGCTTTCGTCTAGTTATTATTATTATTAATGGCTTTATTTAATATCATATTTTTGGTACAATATAGAATTCTCAGCACAAAGTATTTCAACACGTTTCCTTCCTTTATTTTTTCACCTATCCTGATGATAAATATTGAGTGATCACCATTCAGATGTTAGCAGTTCAGCAATCGACATCTGAACAATGATCATTCTTTTCAATAAATATTGATATCCACCAAAATGTCTCTGAATGTACTTTTTCTAAGTTATATAGTGAAAGATCTTAAACGTTTCATAAACGCACAGGTAACTTATGGAGATGTGTTCGTGTCAGGAACAGTTTCCACAGATACGACCAGTACCTCCTACAATATTCTAAAGAAGAACACTCCATAGAGGAAAGAACTTTATTCTGCCTGTATCTTATGAGTTTATCACTCCTATGCTTATGATACTATTTTGAATGATAATAACATACTCATAAGTTCAACAACATACATTAGCATACCTATAAAGTTTTTCGATCAATTAATAACAGTTATTGACTGATTTTTTCTGTTTATTAGCACACTATTTGGACAAGAAACCTGCTTAAGCGTACGAACTTACTATGATTCCCATAAACTGGAGCGTGATGTCAATGTTTGGATGTTAGCATCAGCTAAACAACAAGGTTTATCATATATTTCAGATAAACAAGCACCACACAAAATTCTTGAAAATACTTCTTTGGAAAGTGACTGTGCAGCAGGATCAAATCTTAGAGATGAAAAACAAGTTCATTTTGAGCAGAATATCAATGCATCTGATGCGTGAATAATAATAATAAACTAGACTCCTAATATTTTATAGGTGTTTAGTTGACTACTTAGAAGTTTAAAAGTAGTTAAACTTTGACAAGCAATTATTCACTAATATGTGTAGGTGAAATTTTATAGTAGAATACCAGTTTATTTATCATCCCGTATTATCTGAAGTATAAAATACAGTTCTAAGACATGCACATCAAATCAATTGCTTGTTAAATTTTCACCAATAAAAATTTCACAACCATCAAAATAATGTTAATTATTCTAAAAAGTGTATTTTATTTTTATGTAGCTGAAAAATTTCCATGTGAAATTACATGATAAATGATAAAAGATCAACAATCATGATGTTGTTTAGTGCAAATGAATCTTCAACATTGGGATAAAATGATAAAGAGGAAGGTAACTCAAGTCAATTATGGGTTTATGTACTCACCACTGGCTACATTTGAGTGGAATTCCCAATAATTTTAGTAGGAAATAGTGACTATTAGAGATCAGTTGATAGAAAATAAATTAACTAACTCACCAGGTACTTGCTAGAAAGTCACATGATAAACGTAAGGATTAATAATATTATCGCGTCTCCAAAACCGAAGTAGGTATAACTTTGTTCAAATATGAGACTTAGTGTCTGAAATTAGAACATTTCAAATAATAACTCACCGATTCCAAAAAGTTCGATAATGTCGGGTGTGAAGGGATTGCCCACTGGAAACAATGGCAGATGGTTTGACAGTACCCCGAAGTGATGATGTTAGAAAGTCATAACAATGGATGTCAAATGAATTATCTAAACCTAAGGTATTTACCGTGAGAACTGAAGGTCCTGAGTTTAATCTTAGGTGAGGCTAGGAATATTCACTTCTGAAGACGAAATAACTATCCAGTACTCCCTGGTTTTCAATGGTTATCTAACTTAGATCATTTATTCATCTCAAAAACATCTGAAAAATCTCGCAAACTGTCTATGCTGACAATTATAACTAGATAAATCAGTAGAAATAACCTGCACCTATAATTCATTCAAGTTACCCATAAACATTGCGATAGAATGTCAAAACTTAAACAGAAATATTTCAATAATAATAGAGGCTTGTCGGAAAGTCAAATCCCAGGAAACCTGTGTTTTCTCTATCTGTTTAAAATGAAAAGTTAAACATTTTATGATTATATCTCATTTATTTTTCTTTAATTTTGTATACCTGTCTATTTATTCCCATGAAGAAATGACAAAAAATCTTTTACTATTCAATTTCATTTTTAATGTATTTTGTAACTGAGATAATTTGAATCGAATTCATAGATTAATGTATGAATTTGAATGAAATACGGGGAAGTCATTCAGTCAGCTCCAACGTAGAACCAGGCACATTTATGCATCGGTCCAAGTTGCCATACCTCGTTAGCACAACAAGATGAACACCGAATTCATAGTAGTTAATTTAGTGGTGGTAGTAAAAAAGAGAAAGGTTCTGTATAGGGATATAGTATGGGAAGGAAGAAAGTTATGAAGCAACTTTAATCTCAAGGTTTAAGGGAAGATAAAGAGTGTATACACCTGCGCCATTGCGATCGATTTTGAGCCATGTCACCCAGGGTCTCCAGCCATTGGTTACGATGATCACGGGGAAGTTGTTATTTATAGGTTGTTTTGAGTCAAAGGAATCGATGACTTGTCATAAATTTGTGATTTATCGATATAAGTATACCTTTTTTTCCTAGTTTAATATATATCATTCAGAACACAACAGATCTTCAAAGGAAATGGTCACTTAAGAAGGTAGTGAAATAAAAGAAATGAAGAATCTCACTTTATAGTGAACGAAAACGAAATCTGATATATATTTTAACAATACCATGTCTTCAATACAATAAGATCCTTGATTCTAGTTCAAATATAATGGTTTTAAAGAGATGCGGAACAATTACTACAAATAATAACTAGTAAATGTATTCAGGGCGAATTCCATTCATCTGTTAGATATAAATTAATGATAGGAAATTGACTAATTGAATATCCTGAAAATTTTAATAATCATCATTACCCCTGTTAGATTAATAGCTGATGTAAATTCGAAACAGGTCCTACTCACTGCCTTCTCGTGGCACCGGTGTTGTTTACGAAATTGAGGGGTCGTTGTTATTGTTGTTGAATTCCATTAGATATTGAATTTCAAAATTATCTCATATTCTTTATTCTTGATCTTTTCTACTATCAACAATATCGTTATTACGTTTGCTAATCCGGAATTTGTCTTGATACTTTCATCTCGCTGTGCTTGTATTATGTGACAACTTTAACAAATGCACATATGTTTCAGGTTTGACGTTGTTGTTAACTGGCCCCTAAATGCCCTGACAAGGCCGAGAGTGGAGAAGGCCCTCCCTCTCTCTCGAAATGCTCTCACATGGCCACGCATATATAGCCTCTGCCAATGAAGTCCTAATCACTGCCTTCTCATGGCACCGGTGTTGTTTACGAAATTGAGAGGATGAAAAGCGAATGTCCGGCGATTTAACCGGGTTGGTGGACATGGAAAGTTCACCTAGGGGAGTTCGAAAACCCTGATTACAAACTAATGGTGCACATGGGCTCCAGTATCTTGAGGGAACAAAAGGCGTATGAATCAATCGTTGTTCATCGGCTACCATTGGATTGCATCTACCCACGCTGCTCCACTGCCTTGTGGATCAAACCTTTAGGACAAAGGCTCCGGGTGTGGCCCCTTAAGAAAACAGCCTGTTTCAGTTTGGACACCTGGGCAGTATCACAGCCCTCACATAAATCAAATGAGATTTGTGCGGCGCATATGCATCTGGTGCTTCCTTGTACCAATATTTATGTGTTTAAATAAATAAATAGTATACATTAAGCCATAAAACAATTTAGTTTACTAAAGGAATCCTTTCTAACAATTTGGTATTCAATGCTGTAAAGTCATTCATTTTTATGCATTAAATAATAAACCTTTATAATGAAATTTATACTAGTTGGAATCTAGTGAGTTGTCACCTGAGATTCGTTCATATAGTTAAGTTTTTTATAAAAAGATAGGTGTTATATAAATGATTATCAATAATTCTTGATAGAAACTATCTTCATAGTAGGGAGGGAAATTTAAATGGAAAGATTTTTATATAATTGAGATCATGAGTCCATTGAAGCTAGACCACCATGGAAAACTTAGAAGCATTGGACGGCCGTTTCGCCCTATTGTGGGACTCTTCAGCAGTGCGCATCCACGATCCCGCCTCGCGAGATTCGAACCCAGGACCTACCAGTCTCGCGCCAGGTCTGTTGGGAGATATCAACTCATTGAAGGCATTGGTGAATAGTTGCTCAATTTCGTGTATTGGTTGAAGTTAGACATTAACACCGTTGGATGCCGTCTCAGTGGTCTCTCGGTGAAGTGCTCTGGCGCGAGACTGGGTTTGAATCTCGAGAGGAGGGATCGTGGGTGCGAATTGCCGAGGAGTCCCACAGTAGGACGAAGCGGTCGTCCAATGCTTCCAGGTTCTCGATGGTGGTCTAGCTTCAAATGACTGATGATCTCAACTATATAAAATTACTAAAATCTTCACAAAACCCTCTTCTGACAATATTTTTGTTAAAAGTGATGAGCAAAGTATGAAAAAGCTAGCGATATGGCCAAGAGAAGAATCTAATCAATTCCATTTGTGTATATAACTCAAATTCTTGTAGAATAAAATAGGCATGCACCTCATAGACCTATTTATTAAATGTTATAAATTACATTTAAAGTTGAATATTTTTGATCTATTATATTTTGTACAGCAAAGGATCTAACTTACGTGCCTGGTTCTTTCATAAGTTATCCTAATTGTTTGTCTGAAGTATGAAGAATACGTAACCTTGACAAACTAACTCCCTACTTTGCTGACATATGCACATCCAACTAGTCGGTTATTGCAAATTATCTTATAGGCATATACTTTGTTATCTTTGAGGCTGAAATATTACAATTAATCTAAAAAGCATAACTTAACTTTCACCCAAAATTATTTTAAATTCTTATCAATCAAACGCATGATCTAGTCTCAACATGAGCTGTAGAATGACAATATTTTAAGCCAACTCTGGTTTTCAATTGATGACACCAAGGTTAAGAAGCATTAGTAACGTTTAAAATATTAAACACCTAAATCTGAACAAGGAAATGTGTCACATATTACCGAAGATAAGACGGCTCATGAATATCTTGAATAGATCCAACGAAGAGTTCACTTCTCGGGAGAACTCAATTTCGAAGCTATACAGTCAAAAATCTATACATTTTTACTAAGCTAATACCTAGAATGATGTTGCACCACAGGAGCAAGTGGATGAACAATTGGAAATGGAAATGATCAGATGAAATAATGAATCTTTTGGATTGCATTTGAACACTAGTTGGTCTGAGAATACTAACGGCTGCAAAGAACGTTGCTTTGAGAAAGTTATAAATACTACTCTTCAAGATGTCTTCATATTTGTCACAGTGGAAACCAATTATACTGACCACAGTTTCTATAATCTTAAATCACCACTTCTTCGTATGTACTCAATTGATATCATCATAAGAAAATTAATTATCTTTATTGTGATTTAATTTTTCTAATGACTACATAGTCTGATGTTTTTTTATATTTTAGTCACCTCATAGCTTATTTTCAACCTACTTCTATATTAGCTAAAATAGTAGGGATGCTGAGGGGAGCTGAATATTTAATGCTCTCTTCCATCGCTCAAAACAGTTACCTTTGTCTTTAATTTATTCATTCATTACATATCTCATAAATGTTAAGAGTATGTTAAAAATGGAAATGGAAATAAGTAATAAGAGCCAGATTGTACTTGCTTTTTTTCAGTATAGCTTTGTAATGATTATGATTAAACTCAGTACTGTTGAGAAGTATTCAAATAAGGTTTCTGTAGACAAAATTAATCTTACGTAAGATAGTTTACTCAACATATCCCCACCTATTTAGCTGTTAATACATAGCAAATATGACATTTTACACCAGGGAGGGATTTGTACCAGATGAACATTAAAAAGCAAGAAAAAGTGAGCAGTTATTTCGTCCTCGTGTTAGACTTATCAGCGATGACCATCCATAACCGCTCTAGAAATTGAACCGAAGATCACAAGCCTTTGAGGTATTTAACCTTCAG